CCGTATGATTGCGCTTTGGAGTTCGATTAAGACGCAAACTCCTGTGGATGCGGATAACATTTGAGGTGTTGCTCATGCTGCAAAGTCCGAATCGAAGATGATGAAGATGACAAAGGCTAGAACTGAAGAACAACGAATGTAGATGTAAATAAAATAAAAAAAAGTTTCAAGGAAATGTAAATTAATCGGATTCCGTGTAAATTTTTGCGATCTGGCGCGATTCCGGCTCCAAAGCCCTAAAAATACTTTGAACTAACGAGTGGAACGCTTAAGCCCTTACTCTCATGTTTTGTGGGGATGATATCCGAGGGATATTGCAGAAGCACCACAGTTGCATGGGTTCTGACCCTCGTTATCATCTTTGATTCGGTTTTGCAGCATGAGCAACCTGAGAAGTTATCCGCATCAGGAGTTTGCGTTAACTTGTATTCCAAACGCAATTACACGAGTCGGCAAAGTGCCAGGAGCGCTGCGCGCGACACGCGTCGACCACTGACGGAACATTCTTCTCAGCCTACTATTTCTCGTACCGTTGACGCTGCGGACAGCTGCCGTCGTTAGTACCGCAACGCCACCCATGAAACTGACATTGTAGTGGAACTCAGGGAATAATAGGTACCAGGCCTCATACATATACCTCTTGCTAGGAAGCTTTCAGAACTTCTAGAGCTCAGTGAGTTACTTCGCGTTTAAGCATGAAAAACTGTAAGTCATTCAAAAAACACTGCCAAGACTTTCTTCCCAGGCCAATATTTCTGGTGCTGGAGCGTATAATCTATAATGTACTGTTTATGGACTTGAAGAAGGCCCTACGGCCGTTGTCAAACAGGGCACCCCATTGCGTCTTTTCAAATTCCTACTGAATGCGAACACCCCGCTCCCCTTCCCGGAAATCGGTACGATTCCCCTACCACGCAGAAGGAGGTAAAATGGGTCAAAAGAGACAAAAAGAATTGATATCGAATAGAATATTTCAGTTGTGAAAGTCTAAAAACTGTGTGCGTACATTAGAGACGGTTTTTCCTGTTGCACTGGGAAACGTTTTATCGTGATATGTTGCAAAATGGGGCCAGGAACTCCAGGCTAAGAGTTCTCCTTTTTTGAACATCTATAACTCTCTTAACAGTGGAGTTTCTGGAGCCGTAAAAGCAGTGTTGCAGTCCCCCTATGTCGATGTTGATTAATTGTGCTCAAGCCATTCTGAACAACTCTTCTTCGTGGAAATATCCCTGTTGTCCCGTCACTGCTGAATTCTGATGGCTTTAACGAGTTTTTGTACTTTAAACAGGCATAAATCCCTTCATACCTTTTGTGGAGTAGTAGTGCCGGAAGTTAGGAAAGTCTGTGGTGGTTCAGTGGAATTATAAGTATGCCCTTGAGTAAGAGGCGAGAATGACAATAATAATCTATATAATACCTTTATTATGTATATGAGATGAACCTACGTCTTGATTGCGACGGTAGTTGTGCGAGGAAGGGCGAGTAAATGGACGTCTTACTCGGGACGTTGAACGGGAGGTAGAAGCAGCTAGTGTATTCTAGGGAATATAGCAGACTGCTGCGGACTATCATATCATGTCCGCCTCATGGCAGTACTCAAGGACCCACGCTGAGAGAGGTTCTAGCCCCAGACGTGGAGAGAGGAGGTAGAGAGTGGGATCGTCGTCGCAGACGACGATACTCCGCCGGGCAACGAGTTTACAATTCAGAGGAAATTTGCACACGGTTATTTACATAGAACATGAGCAACTTGTTGAGCGTCTTGTAGTCGGGATGGAACACTCGATTGATAGAGGCGATGGCTG